CGATAATCATTGTAGATTAGCAGCATGAACGTTTACAAATTTCATGTGAAAAAAACATCGTATTTGTAGCCAAAACCACTATCTATCTTGCTGCGGATTTGTGTGTTGAAATCCATAATATTACAGAAAAATTGGAACGATAAAGGATGCTGTGTGTTTCTGTTGATTGTTTTTCATCTTTTTCTCAAACGCTGTCCATTCATATAGTCTATCAACATAACTCCATAAATTGGGTTCTTTTTTTTCCAACATCCTTTTTTTTGGGCCTGCATTGACATAGTTGCATCATTATAGTACGTTCGCACTAATATTTACTCAGAAGCCTTAACTGAAAAAAAGAACTATTGTGACATGTCAAAGCGATGATGTATTTGCCGAATAGTTCTTTGCAACAGGCTTTCAGTCGGCTGTGGAGTTTGTCTCGCGCAGTTCCGGATTTCACCGAGCGCACCTGAACCGGTCCGGTTGCGGTCGCTTGGGTTCCATGACGATTCGAAGAGGCGCTAACTCATTTTGCTTGTATTCTCCTCCTTGCATCATGTTCTCTGTATAGTTTCTCTTTATTTTATTTACACAAAAATTTTGTTTGCTTTAGTTGAGTATGCGAGTTTCGAGTATGCATTCACACTTGTGACCACAAATATCATGATTATTTATATTCCATATCTTTGTTCCTATCTACCTTGTGATGCTCTTTTCTCGCTATGTGATGAATTCAGATTCAGCGATTATTGAGCTATATATAGTCCTTCTCAAGCTGGGTATACATTTTATGAGGATTAACTTTTTTTTTCTATGCTCCCATGCTTTAGTTTGTATTAAACTGGTGCCGTGTGCCTTCGAGTTCGTATTGCGCAATTGTGTTGTCTTTAGCAACTATAAAGTTCTACTTATTTTGTCCAGAAAATTGAAGTTATGTTTCTGATCGTATGGCCTTACTATAAGGTTGCGGTAGGTAAGCAGTAGTGGTAGTGTCGATACTTGACATACTCAGCACAAACTCCATTTTGCAAGTGGATAGTTGGTCACAATTGAGTGATTTGTGTCATCAGTTTAACAGGGTTGTTTGCTTATCACAAAATTGGGTCTGGTTATTGTATTAACTGGCAACAGGCATGATACTGCGCAACGGCATGCTAATCGTAGCTAGCATATCATATACCTAATCTCTTTTCGGCCAATTTTCAGACAACTTGTGATCTGGGCCCGCTAGTCTAACTGGGAGACGGTCGAGTGGCGCGATGGCTGTCAATTACATGCTAACAACACAGTAAAAAACTATTTTTGTAAGCTTTTGAGCTTTTCAAAAAAATGGAAGAGTTTCAACAATATATCAGCTAGATGATAG